TTTCCAACACAAGCAATTGTAGATATTTGAATATTTTATTGATTATAATATTCTTCTTTTCAAAGTCTACTAGAAAAATTGAATAGACCCCAGGGTTTTTAGCATGCTAATAAAATCCAAGTTACCTGGCTTGGCTGATCAATTTTTTTTTTTCATCTTCTCAAATTTAATTCTCATTCCAGACAACACCAGTCATAAATTCATTCAAATCAATTTTAAAATCCAACTAAGTAATTCTTTACCAATAGAATGACTAATAGTTGTAAAGTAAAAGTAACCAAAACAATGAAAAAAAAAAATAATGGCATGTTTCATCTAATAATAAAAAAAATGGTAAAACTTATATCTATTTTTCATCCCCTCACTAAAAAATTTGTTTAAGGATTTGAAGACAAAGCATTCTTTTTATTTAGCATATTAAAAAAAAATAACACTACAATGACAATTTATTAATATATATACACTATTGGTTATCCATGTAAATAAGATGACTGCTTGTTTTAATTTTACTACAAATGTAAAAGCCAAATAAAAAAAAATTACACTTTAAATATTTCTAGTATGATTTGTCCACCTTGACACAATCAACAACTATTTGCAGGGCAAAAATTTACATTTTATTAATATCTGGATGTTTTCTCTTTGAATTGTTATTTAATTGATAATTTTTAAACATAATCATTGTATTTGGTAATTTTGTTATTTAAAATAGTTTGAAAAATTATTTCATCAATTTTAGCTTTGTTTTTTGAAATATCTTTTTTTTTTTTTTTTTTTAAGTTAGTAAAGCCATGAGATTTATTTATGACTAAAATATATTAAACTCTTTTAATAATGTGTCTCTTTACAAGATGTAGGCAGTCATTGTTCTCTACATCTTGCCTTTTTTTATAAAGCAATACTTTCTCCTTTTCATGACCCTCTCTTTCTTCTTGTTACCTGTTCCTGTCCTGTTTTATTTGCCAAACTTTGGGTTACTTTATTTCTCATAAATTTCATTTCTCAATTTTTTTAAATAATAAAAATAAGTTAATTTTTTTTTGTCCAAATAGGTATATTTTATTCATTAAACCATTCTTTTGTTTTAGTAATATTTGAATATTTGTAAAAAAAAAAAAAACAAAATAAATTTGATTTTGAAATGCCACAATCCTCTTTCCAAGATGATGACATTATGCTTAAAGACATAAAGATTTAAATTTCACAAGAAGCGATAATGATTTTTTTTTATTTTTATATTTGATAATATTTCTCTTTATTTCATTTAAATTCTTTTTTAGAATTAATTAAAAATTATAAAAATAAATAGAATCACTTTTGATGTTTAGAAAAAGATAATTTATTTTTTGTATCTGTTTTGATCTTGTTTCTTTTTTTTTTTTTTAATTAGAAATATTCAAATTATGTAAATTTTCATTTTGTATGTAAAATCTTTTACTGAAAATTTGCAATTTTATTTACCCTTTAATTAAAAATTATTATAAATTAAATTAAATTTTCAATGAAAACATTTGCTCCATTTGTAGTTGAAGAATTAATAAATACAAAGTGAATAGTTTAATTTTCATTTGCAAAATCGACATTATAAACCTTTATATGCAAAAGACAAACTTGTAAAGCGTAACTTTACTTGCATTGGTGTATAATATATGTAGTTTTGCAGCTCTTGCACATATTTTTTACAAACCATTTTACTATAATTCAAATAAATGTCCTTTGTTGAATGTCTGTCATTACATAACTCAAAAAAGCTATTTAGTGACCAAATTTGCTGGAATTCATCCCAGTTGGGATGGATAAATTTATTTTAAGACTGAGGATTTAAAAAATTTCTTTGTAATCTCCATAGATGATATTTAAACTGTTGATTCCAAGGATTGTGATTTGAAGAATATTAAATATTCAATAAATACAGTTAAAAATAGGTACCTCCACGAAATCGCTAAAAAAAAGAGCATAGCTTGATGAAAAAGACGCCAACCTTGCCGAAAACAAAATTTTATTGTCTAAATGCTTATGTTATTATTTAGAGGAAAGACCAAAGTTTTTTTTTTAATTATTTTTAAAAAATTTTCCTTCTTTTTAGAAAATTCTAAATTTTGATTAAAAAAAAATTGTTTCTATTTGTATCAGTGGAACTAGTAAATAACATAGACAATTTTTAGCACGTTTTTTTTTTTTTATGACACACATTAATTTGAAAAATCGTGCAAAAATAAAATAATTATCGGATGTTAATGAAACTTTCAGGAACTATTCACAGATGATCGAAATTATTATAAATATGTTTTTTTTTATGAAAGTCATGGTAGAAATATTTTTTTTTTAAAATATTTATTACCCCCCCCCCATAACTAATTTTATGAAAACGCTAGAAATTCGATCGAATCGGTTTTAGTGATTACAATAATTAAAAACACAGGGCTTTGAGGAATGCAAATCATGTTTTTTTTTTTTTTTTTTTATTGGATACCCAGTACCTGAAAATCAGCTCTGAATTGTAACATACAAAACTCAATAAAACAAATTTATTATTTAATTTCAAATGCTTTTATTTGCTTTTAGTTGTTTTTATGAATATGGACAATATTTTCTGAAAGCAAAAAAAAATTTTTCGATGAAAATGAATTTTTAATACAATTATTTGTTATTTCTTTAATTATAATAGATTTTTACATTTAAGTTGTTAAAATATTATAAAATTAGTTAAAAGCCCATCCACTTTCATAAGTGTCCTTATGAGATAGATCTTTTTTTAGCGCATTGTAAATTGTATCATTTTGACTAATCAGAAGATCTGAAGTAATTAAGAAATGTAATTTTGTGTTTATAATCGGACTGTAATTATAAAGTAAAGAAGACCAACCAGAATACAATTAAGTTGCGTTATTTGAGTTAAGCATTGTTCTCCGCTGTTAAGGCTTTTACTTTTGCGGAACACGTGTGTAGAAGTTAATTTGATTTTTCAATTTTTACTGAGAAGGGTACCTACAAGTATCATCTTATGAAATTTATATGATCTTATTTTTATATTAATCTCAATTATGACATTTTTTCCATAAATGAAATATCAAAATTAATAATAAAATGAATGCAAATACAAATAACAGTAAATGTAATAAATGTACATAAAATTATAGTATTTTATGTACAATTCTGATAAAATTTCATAAGAAAGGTACCTATAAATTAATTAGATACCTTTTTTTAAGAAATATGAAATTTAATCTCACTCTTAACAGTTTTATTTTAATTTCTTTACAATATATTTTCCATAAAGCATCATAAACGTAAAGGTGAAAGCTAAGTACAAAAAAAAAAAAAAAAAAAAAAAAAAAAGACCGCTGAAAGTTTTCCTTAAAAATAACGGGGTAAATAATTTGTTCACGTAAATGTAAATTATTTCACTTTTTTCTCCTTCCATAGAACAAATTAGCCTCATGGAATTCATAAATATATCATTCATCACATGTCAAGAGACGCGAAAGTTTATGACCTGCTTTGTTTTATTTTCAAATTACATCTTTTTTGGCACAAAAAGCTAAGTTAAGTTTTGGTTCAAAATATTTTAAATAAACATTATAATTTCTGATTTTCTTAAAATAAGTTTTGAAAAAATGATAATTGATATTTAAAAAATTTCAAAGTCAGATTTCCAGTTTTTTTTTTAAAATGGAAAAAAAATCAATTTTGCTGACTCAAAAAAAAAAAGATTTTTAACGAAAATTTCGGACGTGCTAGGAACGATTAAAAAATGGAAAAAAATACCCCAAAATACTTTGACCTTTCCTCTTAATAATAACAAAACATTTAGACGATAAAATTTTGTTTTCGTCAAGTTTGGCGTCTTTTTTCATCATGCTATGCTCTTTTTTAGCGATCTCGTGGAGGTAACTATTTTAACTCAAATCAAAGGTTTTTTTCACCATTGCAATATCAAAAGACTTTGGTCAAGTCACTGGATCCAACCAACGCGATTATCCACTGGGTCATGTGTCTTTGAGGACAAAAAGCTATTCAAAAGTTATTGTTTGAGTCAAATATTTTTTATTGGGATGTGTAAAATAACCATAACTATAATGGTAATAGTTTATTTTAATTTTTTATTCTCGTACCAATATATAGAATTAAAAAAATACGCCTGGCCAATTCAGCTGTTTATATAACACCGGGGGAAAAAAATCATGTCCTTCAGTGTCCGCCTGTGGAAATACACCATTATCTCCTGAGAATTTCTTGCATCTCTACAGGATGTACATACAAGGTTGCTCATAAAGTCTCTTTACAGTTTTAAAAATATTTAAAAAATGAAATGAACCGACAAATATGTGGAAATTGTTACGAAATGAGGAGTAAATATTGATTTTTTAAACTGATTTAATACATCTCTATATAGACACCATTAAATCATAACTCGATTGTTTGCCATGTTCGCTATAGCGTAGCTTTCTCGATGGTCCTAATGACATCGGTGATCTTTTTTCAGCATTTGATCAGTATTGTTCTGTATCTTTGTTCGATTTTCCACGAAATATCTTTAACATAACCCCAAAGAAGTGAAAAATCTCCTGAACGTGGTGACCATGGAATTGGGGCGTCCTTTCCTGATTTAGGAACCTATTTGCATTTCCCAATGTGGTTTTTTTTGGTTTTTGAAAAAAAAATGAAAAATCTTACAGAAAAGAAAATGGTTGTTTGAAGGTTTATATTCAATTAAATGCCTTTGCAATTATATATTTATATATATATATATATATATATATATATATATATATATATATATATATAATTTAAAAAAAAGAAACTTAAAGGACATCCTGCATTACTAAAAGCTTCATAGCGTTATGAAACCTTGAGGAATTCTTTGTTAAACAAATGCCTGTGGATCGACGAACTTTTCGAGGAATTAAGTCATTTTTTTTTTAACCCAATTAAATTTCCAAAACCCATATTTTAATAAAAATAAAGATCTGGGCAGTTTAAATTCAATTTAACATTACAAAGTAAGCACTTATAAAAAAAAAGAAAAATGTCGAAGAAAAATGAACAGACATAGAAAGCATTGTTAAAAATTTTAACAAAATGTTAAGAAAAAAAGAAAGCATAGATAAGTTATTTCTCGAATATATTGACCATTCCAAGTATATTAAAATCAGTCGTAGGAATCCACTTGACAAAAACGTTTGGAAGAAATAAATATAAAACAAAAAACAAAACAAAAGGAAAGGAAAATAAAATAATACAAATGATCAATTTTAAGAACTGTTAAAAAATTTCAAACCCCCTGAGACTTGATATATTCGTTTGTTTAAAATCTAAACAGCACTGTCAAGATTTATATAAACGACAGGCCAACAATTGAAAAGATAATTGACGCCAAAAAAAAACAAAAGAACGTCTGCAAGCTGTACCTCCCCTCTATCATTCAGTTTTCTCCTTCAAATGAAAAATAGTACTAAAGATTAAAAACAAAATTTTTTTTTTTTTCAACTGTGAAATCAAGGAAAATAGAAAATGCATAATTAATTTTCATTTTCCCAGTATTGCTTTGAAGATCCTTCACCTGCCAAAAAAAAAACAATTCTTTTTTTATTTCGCCATCATCTACTTAACTATCTTTTGGCTATATCGGTTTTAAATTGACTGCGTCATATTAAATCTTTTTCATTTTAACATGTTCTTGTTTTTTAGAAAATTTTTCCAGAACTTTTCATGGAGCCAAATGTCCTCAAGGACACATGGCACAGTGTATAAAAAAAAGATTGGTTAAATCCAGTGAAAGACCCAAAAAAAAAACTTATAATACCTGGTTAAGGCAGTGGAGAACTTTCAGATTTACTGCTTTTTAGCAGGAAATAACTGATAACTGACATCCATCAAACATGGCACGTGGAACTAGAAAAGTCTACCCCAGTGATCGAAATAAAGGGTTCAGTTCGAAATTCCAACCACCTGAAGAAGGCCGGAGCGTACAACGGCCGAAACGTTGTGACAAATATGGCGACAAAGATGAGGACAATAGTCCGACTAATGTAAATACTGTACATAATACCTCATCTCAGATATGTAGACAACATCTTTCAAGAGGTTCTAAGCCTCAAACAGAAGGAGTTGGAGAAACGTGACAGTGTTTCATTATGTTTCAATATAGCCCCCCTTGACATCAATGCATTTCTCGAACGATGCCTAAAACTGCTTCAATTATATCACGGAAGAAGGTGGCATCTCCTCCACAACACAAATGATCACAACATTGTTTCTAAAATGGCGATCACGTTTAGTGGTATTTGAGTTTATGAAACAGGAAGTCAGATGGAGATTTGTCCGGTGAGTAATGGGATGGATTAGTAATTCAAAGCCACAGTGGCTACTTCAGCTACATCAAAATGAGCAGTGTGAACAGGCTCTATATCTTGGAGCAAGATTTTGTCTCAAAAATTCGCTTTGAGTTTCGACAATTGCTTTCTTCAGTTAATTCTGATCTATAGTAATATCCATTAATAGTTTGTTTTTCCTTTTATCAGGTAATCTATCATGATTAATAAATCAGAATAATAAAGAGAAACAGACGCTACCATCTTTCCAACAGACACTGCCTGCTTGAACTTCTTTGTGGGTGTAGAACAAGATTTGATTTCGACTGTTTGCTTTGCATCTTCAGTTCAGGTGGAAATACTCTGGGTCAACCTGGAAGCGAGTCCTGAAATGTCAACACTTTTCAGATTCTGCTCTGGCATTCTTGGGACCCATCATGCAGACAGACTGAAGATCTCAGTTAAACAGTATGGACTGAACCAGAACTAATGCCTATGGAATTAGCTATCTGCTGGAAAGTAAAACGACTGTCATCCAAAACAATACTTGTTCATCGGTGGCTGAGGATTTTGGACGACATGACCGAGTTTCATATTTTGTGCTGTCATTACCCAAAAATTCCGCAGCCCACTTCCTCAATGAAAAAATAAGGGAGGCTCCTGTAATGTTGATACCGTGATCTCATGGATTTTCTTGGGTGTCATATCTTTCTTTTGCAGATAATTTATGACTTAATCGGGCCATTGTTTGATCCATTCTTAGATTTGTCGCAAAACTCTCAGCTTTTTGTGGGGATCTTACCAACATACACATATCTCAATTAGTTTCATGAGAAATGGTAGTGAGTTGTTTTTTCAAAATGTTCAGCTATTGCTCTTCTTTCTGGATCAAGCTTACAATAACATTTAGAAAGGTCCTCTTATATACAGGGTGCAATGGCTAAAATGTCGCTAGTTCATATTTTTAATTTCGTGCATGCGCGTTGCTTGTTTTTATTTTGTCGACTGCACAATATAGTAGGGCCAGTTGGACATCCTTTGAGAAAAAAGCATCATGACGTTTTATTCATTCGCCAGAAATTTGGAAACAGCATGCTGTACTGCTTGGAATTCGCGCCAGAATCTCCATTAAAAATATTAAAGAGTTTTGGGATGTCGATTTGTGGACTATGGAGAGGATTCGGAAAGATTTGCATGAGACTACATCTAGCCAGCTCAAGTGTACATTGATGAGATCTAAATGCCAGTCTAGTACCGCCCTTAAATCTAGACAGTCTAGTTATAAGACCAAAGAGCACATCAGCAAAAGTACCATTAAAGGCCTTATAGAAAAGACCTTATAGAAAAGACACAGAACCTTAATCCTTACGGCCGTGGGAAAGTGACAGAAGCCGACATGAAACAAAATAATTTTAGTATCTGTCTATATTTCTGAGATGAGGTATTATTACACTATTTACATTATTCGGACTAATGTCCTCATCTTTTGTCGCCATATTTATTACAACGTTTCGGCCGTTGTACGCTCCGGCCTTCTTCAGGTGGTTTGAATGTCGAACTGAACCGTTTATTTCACTCACTAGGTTAGACTGTTCTAGTTCCACGTGCCATGTTTAATAGATGTCACTTATCAGTTATCTCCTGTTAATTCCCCTCCAAGTTCTCCACTACCTTAATCGGGTTCTGGTGAAAGTTCACCGGATGCGCACGCGCGTATGTGTTTATGCGTGCGCGCGCTTGAGCTTTTAGCCAGAATTATATTTTGCTGTCTTTGCTGAGTCTGAATTTTTCATTGAACACGTGTAACACACTCAATATTCCGTTCTTGGATGGTTTTAAATCCGTAATAAATCCGTTCGGACAACGCTAAAAGCAGCACCAGCTTTATTAAGCGGTAGGGAACTGATTCCTCTTGTTAAGATCGATAAATCGTATTTGTATTGTGATGCGTGAATACACATGTAGGTCAGATTCGAATTCTGCGAGAAAAGATTTCAATCCTGAATATATTGGAATCGAAAAGATGATAATTTGAATGTGAGAAAACTAAAGGCTTCATCACTTTTAATAAAGATCATATCACAGCTTTCTCACAACAGAAATAAAGCATTGACATATCTCAAAATTAGTTAGAAATTTGAATGTCCTTTTCTCGCTCAATATACTATTCAATATTGGTAACATATTCACATGGCCTGGTATTTCAACTCCCTGTCCAGAAAATGATGATTTTTAAAACCCTCATTTCAACGAACCAAACGTAAAACTAATATTCTCTTGGTGGATTCGATTTATATTGTCAGGTTTTGTTAAAATAGTCCTGATCAAGACAAGATTCTTTTTCATTTTTTTTCATTCTCGGAATAAATGATACCTTTATCCCCAGTGTTCAAAACTATTGCTCAAAAATGGAAGTTCCAAATATTTAATTGCTAATTGATATTCGGTTCTTTAAAATCTTGTAAATTTGTATAAAGCCCAACAGTTTTTTTTTTTGAATTTTTAGCATATAATTACAAATTGAAACCTAAAAGAAAAAAATCCAAAGCCTACATGTCCACTGAAAAAAAAAAAAAAAAAAAAAATGATTATATTTAAAAAAAATGAAAAGAATTTAGTGAAATATGTATTAAAAAAAAAAAAAATTTTTGAAAATGTGATGATGGTTGGTCAGTCAGAAAATATGACATAAAATCAATGCAATTTATGAGGCTGACCCTCGCCATCAGGAGAAACAGCTCTTAAAACATGTGATGTTATTTCTAAATTGTACCTCTGTAGTTTTGTTGGAAACTATTTTTAATACATTTTTTTGGCATATTATTTTGGGGTAAAATACAAATACTTCGCAGATTGCACAAGCTTTCAAATTTAAGAGATATGTAAAATAGTCCTTTAGTAAGAGCATTTCCAGAGATTCATATTCAAACTTTATTTTAAAATATTTAACTTTGTCATATTTTGTATTTAAAATTACAAAAAAAAAAAATAAAAATAAAATAAAAAAATAAAAATTCATTATTCATAA